CGTGTAAGAACGGGGCATACCAGACATGGAGAAGAAACGTGCCAGTCACCACGCACCAGGCAGAAGGACTGGTAGCAGCATTTATGTCTGACAACATAGGGATTAAAAATTAGTGTAGAAAGTTAATACAGTCAGAATACTTTGGAGGTTGTAAACCATTCTTCTTGTATCCCCAGGGATCTGCCGCCAAAGCTCCTAATGGAAACACTGAATAAAAACAGTGTGCCTCGTTACTGGTGATTCTAACAATATGACCCAGAACCAAACAACAAATCCAAAAAAACTTTAATAAGGAGAGAACTCATAGGGCCAACTTGAGGCCTGTTATATGGGGTCTCACGGGCTCGCCTTATTAAACAATTCTTCAGGGTACCTTCTTTTAGAAGTGTGACTGATTCAAAGACAATTTTTTAGACCTGTTGACTATTCTGGGGCACCTGGGAGGCTCAGTCAGCTAAGCATCCAACTTCAGCTCAGTTCGTGATCACATGGTTCGTGGGTTCGAGCCCCTTGTCGGCTCTGTGCAGACAGCTAGATCAGAGCCTAGAGCCTATCTCAGATTCTGTATCTCCCTCTCTCTCTGACCCTCCCCAGCTCATGCTGCCTCTCTCTCTCAGAAATAAATAAAACATTTAAAAAAAATTTTTTAATAAAGACTTGACTCTTCTGCTAAAGCAAAACCAGGGTCTCCTTTCCTTATTCCTATTAAATTACCAAAGGCTCAGAAAGAAAAGTGATTACCTTAGCTACAGGGAAAGATATGCTCCAATAGACTACATGAATAACCTTAGTCCATTTCTACTCTTGGAAGTATGAATGTGTAGGAGAGGAGAATTATGAATAACGGAATTGCTCACATTTTTGGTCCTTCACGAAACAAGAGTGAATCCACAATCATAAACTGCGAACACAGTAATGAAGATATATGCAGAATTGGTGTGTGTGGGCGGGGGGGGGGGGGTAGGTCAACATTTTAAGAAGCTCCTGAACTACAGATGTCCATATTTGCAAAGAGAAAACTGAATTTTAAATTTTTTTGGGCTGAGAATTAACAAAAACGGAAAGTTTGTGGGCCCTTTGGTGAATCACTTAACAAAGCCTTACCTTTCATTAAGAGTTAATTCTCCAGGGGGTTCTTGGGGAAATCATAAAATAGGGTACATCTGAAAACCTATAAAGAGCCAAGCATTATCAGGGCCCCTGGGTGGCTCAGTCGGTTATGCATCTTTTTTTTTTTTTTATGTTTTTATTTATTTTAGAGAGAGAGAGAGAGAGAGAGCGTGAGGAGCGGAGGGTAAGAGAGAGAGGGAGACACAGAATCTGAAGACGGACTCCAGGTTCTGAGCTAGCTGTCAGCACAGAGCCCAACCCAGGGCTCGAACCCACGAACCATGAGATCATGACCTTAGCTGAGGTCAGGTCTGACTCTGACTTGAGTCAGATGCTTAACCAACTGAGCCACCCAAGCATCCCACATCTGCCTCTTGATTTCCACTCAGATCATGATCTCACGATCCATGGGATCAAACCCTGTGGAGCCTGTTGGGGATTCTCCCTCTCTCTCAAATAAATAAACTTAAAAAAAAAAAAAAAAAAAAAGAGCCAATTATCATCAAACCAGGAAAGCATTCATATAACTAATATTCGCTGAGCAGCCATGGTGTATCAGGTACCAATGGAGACCCCAGAGATGCAGCAAGACATCCAAACCAGCACAGAAAGTCCATGTGTTCGTTCTTGTTAATATCCTCCAGACAGGTTTTTAAGCCTTTTCCTTTTTTCCAGCATAATATAAGAAAGAAAATGGTAACATTTCCTTTATATCCATAAGATTTTTGTTTTTGTTGGAGACAGAAGTTGGGCTATATTCCTTTGCCTGGCAGAAGAAGAAAAGAAATTCCTCATCCCCTTTCCCCTTTTTCTCCATCCTGCATTTACCACGAACATCTTGCTTTCGCTGGATATTTTCAAGAGTCCTAGAAACCAGATCTTCTTGGCTTTTTCACCAGGTGGTTCAGCACCAAAAAACAAAACAAAACAAAAAACAAAAACAAAAAACCCAATTACCATTATCAATAACAGAGTTAATTGTTGTTGCCTATGGCAACATCTCTCTTTGCACCTCTCTAAAGAAAGGATAAATTCCACTTTTACACTGTCATAAATGCTTATCTTATTGTTATAATCACCAACATTGTAAAAATGAAAAAGGTGGGGTGGCTCGCTGACTCAGCCAATATAGCGAGGGACTCTTGATCTCAGGGTCATGAGTTCAAGCCCCACGTTGGGCACAGAGATTCCTTAAATAATAATAAATAAAATGAAAAAGGTTTATGTACCATCTAACCATAGGTAAAACAAATGCTCCATATTTAGAGTGCCTTGCTTTTTATAAACTCGCAAATCTTAGCAGGAATTTAACAGACTTATTCAGGCACTTTAACCAAAATGCCCACAAAAATTCAGTTTGAAACACTTTTTCCACCTGGCAAGAAAGTTCCATAACTCAGCACCTTCCACGTGTTACATGAGAAGGGTAAATGCACGGGCAGTAAGGCTTCAGAATATACAAAACACGATCTTCAAGCCAAGAACTAAATCTTACTGTCCTGGTTTTCAGCACAATACTTCAAAACACGTATGAATGGCAGACAAATCCTAAATGCTAAACAAGTATTATATAAAATGTATGCCAGACTAATGAGCAAAAACACTGTATGTGTAAACCCCGAAAAAAAAAAGAGATGTTTTTACTTTTTAAAGCCCTGAAACAGTCTCACTCCATTCTAACCCGGATATTCTGGTCCCTGTGAAGGAGCACCACACACCTGGAGAGCCTGAGAACCAGCACTTTTTGTGAAGATTAACAGCCGCCTCTGGAATAGACTTCAACCTACCACACAACCACCTCTGTCAAATTCTAGCCAAAGTGTCAAGCAGCGACAACATTAAGTAGCAGGAGAAAATAAAAAGTAGATAAGAGAAACAAAGGAGAGGTCAAGAAAGACAGAAGGGCCAAGCGAAAGAAGCATAAGGAAAAGCAATTAATTCTTTCCTCAGACAAGTATTTCTGCCTTCCAAACTTCACAGGAACGCATGCCCTTAAAATACACTCCACTCAGGGGCGCCTGGGTGGCTCAGTCGGTTAAGCGTCCGGCTTCAGCTCAGGTCATGATCTCACGTCACGGTTCGTGGGTTCGAGCCCCTCATCGGGCTCTGTGCTGACAGCTAGCTCAGAGCCTGGAGCCTGTTTCAGAGTCTGTGTGTCCCTCTCTCTCTGACCCTCCCCTGCCCATGCTGTCTCTCTCTCTCAGAAATAAATAAAATATTAAAAAAAAAAATACACTCCACTCAAAAAGAGGGATCAATTGGCATGAACTGCACGTGTACTCCAAAATTCATATGATGAAGACCTAAATGTGACAGGACTGGGGGGGGGGGGGTGCTGTGGGAGGTAATGAGGGCATCAGAGGCCCCCTTCTAAGAGGAAGAAAGCTAGCCCTTTCTCCACAAGAGGTCACACACAGCAAGAAGTCAGGCCTCTCCAAGCCTGGAAGCCTGAGCCACGCACCCAGATGCACCTCCAGCCTCCAGAACTGTGAGAAATATTCGTGTTTAAGTCACCTAGTCTACGGTATTTGTTACAGCAGCCTGAGCTAAGCCATCGCTCAAAGTGACTAGTAAATAGTGCAGCCCTAAGCCTTAGAAACAATAAAGAGGGCGGACTGCCGCCCCAGGACTTCACTCAGGATTACCTGCTACTGAATGAGGGCACTTGACTTCACTCTTGCCCTTCACCATCGTCTCCCCCCCCCCCCACCTCCCGTCCCCTCCCTCTGGTTTGGGGGTTAAGAGGTTGGGAAGACTAGAACTTCCGAATCATAAAAAGAAATCTGACCTCAGAAAGTGGTTCAATAAACCTAAAAGGTCTGGCAAGGAAACCCTGACACATTACTCCGTCCTCACCCCTCCTATAACTCATCATCCGGCCCTGAACGATTTTCCTTGCCTCCAGTCTCCAAGACTGTCTAACAGCAAAATTTGGGGAGCGCCTGATATTTTTTAAGAGCAACAAATTTGTTCCATTACAGCCTTCACTAATCTGATGTGAGCACGGCTAGGTTGGCGGGGCTCCCTGGTGTGGCTCCCAGGGCCAGGAGGCCTCGAGTTCACGCTCAGGACTGAGAAGTCCACGCCAAGTGGCCCGTTTCTGGAAAGCCTCCCTGAAAAACACGGTCACGGTCGGCGAAGCCGGCCCAAGTTCCCTTCCCATCTTTTCCTAGGTCCTACTTCCCACGGCATGCTTCCTCCAAAAAAGGAAGAAACCAGCCTAAAGCTCAGCTCACGCCGGCTGGTATTTACCTAGCACCGGAACTTGTTTGCAAAACATTGGAGGCACTCACAAACTTGACTTTGCAGGAAACGCACAACCTTGACTCCCGCAACCAAGATCTGGCGAGCGCCTGCTACCGTCCCTGCCCCCACCCCCAAAGTCCTGGACCCGGAAGGTAGAGGAAGCCAGGTCATCACCGCCACCCCTGGCTATTACACGGTGCCCATGCCACTCAGGGGACCAGTGCCCACTGGACCGACTCACAGTGAGGGCCGGAGCCAAGACCCGACCACTAACTGCTGGGGCGCAGAGGAAACGCCGGGAGAGGCGGGGGCCGCCTCCACGCTCAGAACTGCTTCCCCGAAGCCCGCAGCCCGCAGCTGGGCCGCAGAGGCCAGGCGGCGAGGAAGGCAGGAGCCGGCCCCCGGTCTCCCGCCCTGCCTCCTCTTCCCCTAGCCCGAGCCGCCCGCCTCGCGCGCACGCCCGCACGCCCATGTGCACGAGCTCCAAGTACGACCCTGGGATCCCCAAGGGCAGAAGCCCCTTCTCAACCGCCCCTCCTCCTTCCCAGCCGGCATCCCCGACGAGCCTCGCAGACAACACGTGGGTTCGGGAATCCTGGGAGCGAGGGGCGCGGGCTGCGGCGCCCACGGCGCGTGCCACTCACTTGCTGGCCGGTGCGGGGCTTGCCCTGGGGCGCTCTCCTGAAGAAGGAGGTCCTGGCGGTGAAGAAGAAGTCCTCGGAGTCCTCCTCCAGGCTGCTGTAGCCGCTGCTCATGCTGCTGGTCCCGTCGCGCGTGGGCCGCCTCCCCCGGGCACAGGCGGCCAGGCAGGGGGTGCCGCGCCCGCCCGCCCCGCGAGGTTCCAGGCGCGCGGCCCCGAGCCGCCCGCGGGCTGTCCAGCTGCAGCTGCGGCCGCCGCTCACTCGGCCGTCCCGGCCCCTCCCGCCGCCTCCCCGCCCGCTCCGGGCGCGGCTTTAGCCTCCGAGAGTCTTGCGACCCCGCCCCCCGGGGCCCCGCCCTCTCGCGCTGCCCCGCCCCGGGAGGCTCGCGACTGTGCCCACGCGGTCGGGGCGCTCCGCGCGCGGCCGCAGGTGGGGGCGGTGCGGCCGGCCGGCCCGGGCGCCTGCTCTTCCCCGCGGCGTCTGTGCAACCCGGGGCGTCCGCTTCGGGAACTGCGTCTGGCCGGGCTGTGCTCGGGGTCGCTTCCCCAACCTCCCGGAAACTGCCGAGTCCTCCGTGATCCGGCTACCCGCCCCCCACCCCGCGAGCTCGGGTTTGGGGGAAGACCCGGGCGGAGCAGGGAACTTTCTCCGCTGTCTCCGCCCTTCTCGCCGCCCCCGGGGTCCCGCGGGCGACTTCGGAGATTGCCTAGCCCAGGAGCCCCCAGACCGTCGGGCCTCCAGCAGCCCTTCCGCCGCGTCCTCAACCGGCATCTCGCCCTTGCAGGAGGGTTAACAGTTAGCCGAGAGGAGTTGGGAGGCAACAACTGGGTAGTTTATTCAAATGAAAACATCCTTTCTGGTAACTGGGTTGAGCTCCGGTCTTTCCTTCCCGCCTCTCTCTTGAGAAGGTTCATTCGCCTAGAATGACTGAAGGACGGCCAAGGTCGTTACGTACGGTCTTAGAGGCCACTTGGTGAAGGGGGTGGGAGTGAATTAGTTCGAGTGCATATTAATTAAACGTGTGTTTTAGAAGTCCCCTTCCACAATCCTATAGTTTTCAGTGATGGGGCTCAGGGAATTCTATCCACCCTCCAACCTAAAAATAAAACATAAAAATCCATCCCTATGATCTGAAACCCTTCCAGTCAATTAGTCCTCTTTTAGAATGCAAAGTTTTCCTTCAAGCTACCTGCGGGTACCATTTACACCTTGGTGTTATTGAACTGATTTGAATCATACTAACTTCCTTGCTGTCGACCTGGCTGAAAGGAGGTTTTGAGGTTTCCCCACAGCCTCAGAGCAGTGGTAAGCAGGCTTTAGGAGAGGAAGAGGAGGGTTAGAAAAGTAAGTTTTCACCCATTATCGCTAAACTCTCTTGCATTATCTCCTTTAATCCTGAAAACTTTGTAAAATAGTTATTAATGCTCATTTTACACTCAGCAGCTGAGGTTTAAAAAGGGAAGTAGCTATGGGGAGGGTGGGCAGGGGTGGGGCTATTCTGATCTGCTTTCTCTTTATCTGAAGGTCTGCAGAGACCCTTCTAGAGTGGCTTGGTGCACACTCAGATGTGCTCGTTTGTGCACTAGTGGAGGGGAGAGCTGGCTCTTGAGTCAGCCCCCCCCCCTTACACGTCCAGCTTGCAAAGTTTGGTTAACCCCGGTGATTCACCACTGCAAGAGGCAGGCCTCAGAGTTAACAGCCCATTTTAAACATCCTGCAGCATTAAAGCCTTCTTCCTGGCCACACAGCTACTGAAAAATTAGAAACCAGGAACTCTCACTCCCTGCTGTTTTACCCAGACTAAACCACCCTCTGGTGCCATGCACATAACCTGATGTCAGAGAATGCGACGATTTACTTACGTTATGATAGATTTGTTACCTGGTTTCCATGGCATTAACATAATCTTTATCAAATACTTTCAATTTTTTTAAATAGTTTTATTTATTTCTAGGAGAGAGAGAGAGAGAGAGCGTGAACAGGGGAGGGTCAGAGAGAGAGGGAGTCACAGACTCTGAAACAGGCTCCAGGCTCTGAGCTGGCAGTCAGCACAGAGCCCGACGCGGGGCTCGAACCCACGAACCGCGAGATCATGACCTAAGCGAAAGTCGGACGCTTAACCGACTAAGCCACCCAGGCGCCCCACAAATACTTTCAATTTAAGAGTAATGTGTGAGTTAAAGAATTGAAATAACTTGGGGCGCCTGGGTGGCTCAGTCAGTTAAAAGTCCAACTTATGCTCAGGTCATGATCTCACAGTTCGTGGGTTCGAGCCCCACGTTGGCTGGCTATGTACTGACTGCCAGCTCAGAGCCTGGAGCCTGGTTCAGATTCTGTATCTTCCTCTCTCTCTCTCTGACCCTCCCCTACTGACGCTGTCTCTCTCTCTCTCTCTCTCTCTCTCTCAGAAATAAAACATTAAAAAGTTAAAAAAAAAAAAAAAGAATTGAAATAACTTGTTTTATTGTGGGTGGGAAGAGGGAAATAATCCCAACCCCAACTAATTAAAGTTTCTGAATACTTGGAAGAAAAATATTAAAAGGAAAAATACAGGGAAGAGTTTTATGATCTACCATACCATAAATGGATTTTTTTCATTGTATTAAAGTTAAAGGACTAAATTTTTATATCCATCAGCACACCATCAGAATCGGTTATAACAAAAACGCATAATTGAATAATGAAGTAGAAGCACTGCTCTTAACATAAAGTAGGGGTGCCTGGGTAGCTCAGTTGGTTGAGCGTCCAACTCTTGATTCAGCTCAGGTCATTGTCCCAGGGGTGTGGGATAGAGCCCTGCAGCAGGCTTGCTGAGCGTGGAGCCTGCTTGAGATTCTCTCTCTCTCTCTCTCTCTCTCTCTCTCTCTCTCTCTCTCTCCCCCCCTCTCTCTCTCTCCCCAACATGTGCTTGCTCTCCCTCAAAATAAAATTTAAAATTTTTTTAAAATAACAAGTAAAATACATGAAGGAAGAAGAATTTACGTTCTATTTTCTAAAAGCACCATGATAATTATATTTCTAAATTTTCTGATCGTATTCTTGATAAAATGATATTAAAATTTGGCTCATGAAATTCATGTTTGTAAAAATTCAAAATGTTACATTAAGCAACTAGACATTTTTGCCATTTAAAATTCAAGGAAGGAGGTGGAATAAATAAAATGTATGCAACTAAGTTCAGTTTTGAAAGAACTTACTGTGAAACACAAAAGGATTTGTAAATGGACTCCATTAACATAAATTTTCCAGTGATACAAGAGCCCAGTGATTTAAATTCATAGCCTAGTAACCTTTTATTTCCATATTAAATAGGGAATATATTTCAAACTGAATAAATATATGCAAAAACTATAAATACACACAAATGTTTTATAATTGTAATCATCCTGTGCATCAAATCATTTTCCTTGAATCAATGAAAAAGAAACAGCTTTAGTAACAGTTTAACCCTTCTGTTCACCTGATAAACCCCTCCAGGAGAGGGATGCCTGGCTGGCTCAGTTGTTTGAGCATCTGACTTTTTTTTTTTTTTAATATTTTATTTATTTTTGAGAGAGAGATAGAGACAGCATGAGCAGGGGAGGGTCAGAGAGAGAGGGAGACACAGAATCTGAAGCAGGCTCCAGGCTCTGAGCTAGTTGTCAGCACAGAGTCCGACATGGGACTCAAACCCACGAACCATGAGATCATGACCTGAGCTGAAGTCGGACGCCTTTTTTTTTTTTTTAATGTTTTTTTGATTTATTTCTGAGAGACAAAGACACAGTGTGAGCAGAGGAGGGTCAGAGAGAGAGGGAGACACAGAATCTGAAGCAGGCTCCAGGCTCAGGGGTAGCTGTCAGCACAGAGCCCGATGCAGGGCTGGAACCCACAAACTGTGAGATCATGACCTGAGCCGAAGTCAGACGTTTAACCGACTGAGCCATCCAGGTGCCCGCCTAAGTCGGACGCCTAACCAACTAAGCCACCCAGGCACTCCTTGAGCATCTGACTCTTAATTTTGGCTCAGGTCATGATCTCACAGTTCCTGGGATCAAGCCCCACATAGAGCCTATGCTGACAGTGCAGAGCCTACCTGGGATTCTCCCTCTCTCTCTGCCCCCTCCCCCACTCATTCTTTCTCTCTCTCAAAATAAATAAACTTAAAAAAACTCTTTCTCTGGGCCCCCAGCTTTCTCCCCTGCTCACACACCCCCTCTCTGTCTCTCGCAAAAAAAAAAAAAAAGAAAAGCATAAAAGTAAATTTTTCTTTTGTCAACTTGTCCTAATAAAACACAAGATCACAAAGGAAAAATTTTATAGATTTGACTGTGTAAATTTGGAAATATTTTTAACACACACACAATGGTAAAAACAGGAAAAACAAGGGAAATATTTGCCATGTAACTGATACCCTTACAACACAAAGAGCTCATACAAATCAATGAAAACTTTGAGTAAGTAGGAAAATAAGCAAAGGACATGACAATTGGTTTATGAAAAGAAAAACAGAAGTAACTTATCAGTCATGTATACATTACAATGTTCACTCAGTCAACAAATATGTATTGAGCAGTACTATCTGCCAAATACTGACTTTAACACAAAGGTACACTACTAGACACAACAGACAATATGCTCTAACCTAGTAGAGTTAGAGCATATGTTTTAGTGTGGGCTAGAGGGAGACAGAAAACAGAGAAGGCAATCATATAGTATGTTAGAGGTAATAATTACTCTCATAAATTGGGGAAGAAAGATAAAGAATGTTTGATATAGACTTGCTGTTTAAGCTCTTCCTGAGAAAGTCACTTTTCAGCAAAGACATGTAGGAGGTAAAGAAGCTGTCCATGCAGATATCCTTAGGGAATCCATTTCAGGCAGAGAGAATACCAAGTGCAAAGGTCCTGAGGTAGAAGGGTGCTGGCATATTTGAATAAGAGCAAAGAAGCCAGTGTGTCTGAGGAGGGTGAGTAGAAGAGAAAGTAGTAGAAATGTTGGTACAAAAGGTGACAGAGTCAGAAAGCTTACAGTTCCTATAATGCCATGAAAGCACTGACAGGGGTTTGATTTTGGTCTTTATTTTTTTATTTTTTTTTCATGTTTTATTTATTTTTGAGAGAGAGAGAGAGACAGCATGAGCAGGGGAGGGTCAGAGGGAGGAGACACAGAATCTGAAGACAGGCTCCAGGCTCTGAGCTGTCAGCATAGAGCCCGACGCGGGGCTTGAACCCATGAACCATGAGATCATGACCTGAGCTGAGGCCAGACACTTAACCGACTGAGCCACCCAGGCGCCCCT